GTTTGACAACAAAGATACTCGAAAGGACCGAAAATCAATTGACAAACTTGCTGCCATTCGCTTTACTCTTGATACGTTTATGAAAAACTGTAGCAGCAACTATTCCTTGGGAGAAGAAATGACTATCGATGAAATGTTGATACCTTTTAGAGGTAGATGCAACTTTGTGCAATACATTCCAAGTAAACCTGCAAAGTATGGCTTAAAAGTGTTTGTGTTATGTGACGCGCAGACCTTTTATGTCACCAATTTTGAGGTGTATTGTGGTCAACAACCGGAAGGGCCCTACAAAAAATCTAACACACCAACGGATATTACCCATCGCCTGCGTCAACCTTGGAAAGGTAAAAACCGTAATTTAACATGCGACAATTGGTATACGAGTTATCCGTTGGCAATTGACCTTTTGAAGGAAAAGATAACGATGGTTGGCACACTTAAACGAAATAAAAGGGAACTACCTCCAGAGTTTTTACCAAGAAGAAACACACCAATTGGATCATCCACTTTTGGTTTTCAAAAAGAAGTTACCATTGTATCTTACACACCAAAAAAAAAAGCTGTCATTCTCCTATCTACCATGCACAGTAATTCTACAGTAGATCCCGAAACAGGAAAACCAATGATAATTTTAAACTATAATTCACATAAAGGAGGCGTAGACACTGTAGACAAAATGTGCAGTACCTATTCGGTATCCCGAAGAACACGAAGATGGCCAGTGGCATTGTTTTTTCAACTCCTGAATATTGAGGGAATTAACAGCCTGATCCTGTACAATGCTGCCAACATCGACAATCCTCAAAAATATAGAAGAGTTTTTCTAAAAGAATTATCATTGGCATTGATAAGACCTCATCTTTCTGAGAGGGCGGAAATACAGAGTTTACCTCTGGATTTAAAAATATTCTTTTAAGCACTCTGTTACAATTTGTGCAAATTGTAATTTAGTAGACGCAAACGAGGAAGAAAACGAAAGTGAATAGCACACATATTCTCAAATATGTTCATTTGTGAATGATTATTTACTCCTAGTTTTTAGATTTATATACTAGTTTTATAATATTTTTAATGTTAAGCTAATATACAAGAATCTCAAGAAGGTTATTTTTAGAGAAAAAGAAGTGGTTGAGTTTTTGTTCTTATATTTGTTGCTAATCTTTATATTTTCGTTATGTATTATTTTTTATGTTAAGACATTCTCTTAAATATATGCCTACATTTATTATATACAATATATGTACTAAAAATACCTAGTTGTGGCTTTTATTTGCGTTTTTAGTCGGTGGTGTACAGAATACACCGCGCACGTAGTTATGAATAATGGAGGGGCGCCTGTAGTTAAAGGTTAAACATTGTAGGTTTATTTCGTTGTCGTAAAGATAGATTTAGATATATTTGATTTCGCTTCCTATTTTCATAAAATTATCAAATTTTGTAACTCTTTTTTGATAAATACATTTTTAACAGTGTATATGTATAGCAATACAAACTTTTACATATATGTATACATATTTCCACATATACACATCATCAACAAGCCGCTTAATCCTCTGGATTATAGCTAATGCTCTAGGCATTGTAATCCACTTGTTGGATAGGATAAATATTTCCCTTTTTCATGAATTATGCATTGCGTATTTTTTATTGCGACCTAGCTTTCAACGAAAGAGCCCCAGGTATGAATGCTACTAGTTCGATTATGAGGTATATTATATGTAAATAATAATAAAAAAATTAATGTTTTCTTTTTAAAATAAAGTAGCAGATTGTAGATTGTTCAGAAATTGTTAAAACGTCTCACTCTACATGTATATTTATGATTTGAATAACTATACGCGTTTTTGAAACAGTTATATATAATTTTCTTCTAAAAAATACCAGATAAAAATCATATCGAAACTGAAAATATTCCAATAATACTAAATAATACTAATATTCCAATAATACTAATTAGGTGAACTAAATTGAACATAGAAAATGTTCAGAAAAAAGCTCGAATATGTCTCACAAAGGCACAAAGACATCATCCTCGTAGTGCAGTATTCAAAATAATAGTACATCAATATCTAAGGGGAAGAGGATTTATGGATATAGGTGAGCAATTGGAAAAACAGGTTGCTAGATACCTTAAGAACTTATTTTCAGTTCTTTCAAGTTCGATAAAATAGAAAGAACTTTTGACGAAGGATGAAGCGTTTTCGGAGAGAGGTTGTAGAGTTTTAGTCAAGTACTTGGCCAATGGTTTTGGAGGTCAGTTGTATGCACTGACAATGGGACGTAGAGGAATATCGGGTTTTTGAGTTTTGGGAAGGCCATATATTGCAGGTGTTCAAAAAGATTTTTCATGAGGAATTAGAGATTGTTTTATGTCAACAGGAAGAGAGGTTTAATTAATATGGCTTTTGATGTATTGTCTAGATAGGTTGTTGGATTATTACAATTTGGTCTGTAGTTTGAAGCATTAATTCTAGATTCTAGATTCTAGAATTTTAGAATTTATTAATGTAATAATGTACAGCGGAGTCAGTACCGATAGTAGAGCGGCAGAAGGTGTAGGATGCCTAATGAGAGCAAGCTATATGTCATATGTTAAAAATTGGAAATTTATATCACAACGAAATTTAAAGATAGAAATAACACTAGATAATTCAGAAATAACAACTATATTAGTGACATATGGCCCTAATGATGACGAACCATTGAAATTAAAGAAGAATATTGGGAAGAGCTCAATGATGCTATAGAAAATGTGAAAGGTAGAATAGTCATTCTAGGCGATATGAATAGCAGAGTTGGTAAAAGAGACGATGATAACATAGATATTTTGGGTATGCAGGGGGAAGATGCAAGAAACGATAATGGAAGAAGGATGATAGACTTTTGCATGGAGAATAATTTGATTATGAAAAATCAGTTCTAGATTATGTTCTCATTAATAGAGAATTTAGAAAAGAGGTCACTGATGTCAGAGTTAAAAGAGGCCCAAAAATCTATAGTGACCACTATCTGGTAATGGCAAAGATAAGATTACCCCAAAATAACCCTAAAACCACTAAACAAAGAACGAAAAATAATAAAGTGAACGAGAATATCCAAAACTATAAACTAAATGACCAAAAAGTCGCGGCCATGTTCAAAAGTAAAATAGAAGAAAAACTAGCCAAATGAATTAATGCACATAGTACTGACAGCTTACAGGAAACTTGGAAACAATTTAAAGAAACCATCGTGACGACAGCAAAAGAAACGTGTGGAATAAACCATGTAAACAGAAATAAGAAGCAAACACGATGGTGGGACAATGAATTAAAAACCCAAATATAATATAAAAAACAGAAATGGAAAATATACTTAAACAAGAAAACAGAAAATAGTTACGAAGAATATAAACGACAAAGAAAGGTGGTGAAAGTAATGGTGCTGAAGAAGAAGAAGAAGAAGGAATCCTGGGATAAGTTTGGAATGAAGATCGAGGCAGATAGCCGGGGTAACCAAAAATTGTTTTACAAGGTACTAAAGACGCTAAGAAAAGGTAAAGAAACAACGATGAAACAGGTGAAACGTAAAGACGGCACACTGATTATCAGACCAAATGAGATTATGGAAAGATGGAGACAATACTTCAGCGAACTCCTAACACCAAGACAGCCGAAAGAGGAAACTGTAATGATAGTAAGAGTAAGAGTGTAATGAAACAGTAGAAGAAGAACATGGACAAGAAAATTGTATTTAAATAGAAGAAGTTAAAGAAGCAATTAACAATACAAAGAGAAGTAAAGTCGGCTGGTCATGACAAAATCACTGCAGAAATGTTAAAGACAATGGGACCGAAAGGAGTTGAGTTTTTAACCAAAATTATGAACATGGCTTGGAACCGATGTACAGTCCCCGAAGATTGGAGAATTGGCATAATACTACTAATCTTTAAGAAAGGAGACCCAAGTTCTTGTGAAAATTATAGAGGAACTAATCTACTTAGTACCGTCTCCAAAATATATGGAAGCATCCTAGAAAAGAAATTAAGATACATCGTTGAACCACATCTGGATGAAGTAAGTGGGTTTAGGAAGGGACACAGTACGCAAGACCATATATTTACGTTGAAACAAATAATTGAGAATGCTAGAATAAAGAACACAGAAATATATATGGCTTTTCTAGATATTGAGAAAGGATTTGACAGAGTGTCCCAGGAAGCAGTTTGGAAAAGTCTAACAAGACTAACTAGGGATAACTTGAAATCAGATATGTTTGCAATAAACGAGGGTCTAAGATAAGGAGGTGTTATGAGCCCCACACTATTTATATTAATTATTGACGACATAATTAAGAAAATTAGAAACATGAAGATTGTTAAGAAAACCAAGGTGATGCTAATAGCGAAAACTAACCGAAATGTTAACATAGAAATTAACCAACGATTAGAAAATTAACTGTCCGAGATCTTCACAGTCGAAAAAGGACACAGGGTTGCATATTGTCACCGGCATTATTTAACATATATTTTGAAAACATCTTTAGAGAGGCCTGGGATGAATCAGATGATGGGATTGCTGTAAATGGCCAACTTATAAATAACATTAGATATGCAGACGATACAGTGTTGCTGGCAGATAGTGCGCAGGGTCTCCAAAAGATGATGGATAACGTTGTAGAGACATGTAACAAATACGGCCTAAATCTAAACTGCAAAAAAACAAAAATAATGATCATTAGTAAGAACACCGGCATAAACGCCCAAATTACAATTAACGATACACCGTTAGAAAGAGTGGAAAAAATATGCTATTTGGGCTGCAATATTAATGATACTTGGGATCACAGATACGAAATAGAAACTCGTATTGAAAGTATAATTACAAACCAAGATTAATGCTTGTTAATAAAATACGTGCTTTACATAATAAATTTTTTTTTTCAAATAATAAAACTAAACATACTCTGATATTTTCATTTGTCGTAAATACTCTTAAAGTTTATTGTTTGGCTTGTTTTAGGTTGCTTGGATGCATTTTGAGCAATCAGCAATCTTGACAGTCCACAATCACGTAATAACAAGGAATCCACGGATAAGCGTCACTCACGACAAGCACAGAACTTGGTTCCTACATATCAACAATGTCCAAGAGGAAGATAAAGGCCGTTATATGTGTCAAATCAATACTGTCACGGCTAAAACGAGATTTGGATTCCTGCATGTCGTTGGTAAGTTGACTTGTTATTGTTTGCAATAAAAATCGCTTAAGTGTTTTGTGAAACATCCACAATTGATAAACATAAATTTAACTTTATTTTATCCAAAGAATTCCTTTATTGAGAAGTCGTAAATATTCGCGATATATTTTATTAATACTTGTGTATTTGAAAGGAAATAGAACTATAAACTTTATGAGACTGATATGACAATAAAGTAGGCATACATGTTTATATACACTTTTTATCTTTGTAACATATATTTGCCTTTTTTACTTTGTTCTCATTCTCGAAATATTTACCAAGCTGCCGTACTTGCAAATTTGGAGTTGTTGTTGTTGTTTGTTTGTGTTTATATGACTGCGGACACTAAATCCATTCGCCAATCTTACAATTTTTACTAATTTTTTCATTAGTCATTGTTTCGTATACAATCTTATCCTAAATATATTACTAGTATTGATCTCTAATATATAGTCTTTTTTTTTGATAATTTGGTTCTAATATTTTTTTATTAGGTGTTTTTTGGTTATTTCACTTTTTATCTTTTTTTATTTTTATTTGTTTTTTTACCATTTATGCCCAAAAAATGATATCAAAATTATTTATGTTGATCTCATCGCAAAAATAGGGAAAGAGCAACAATACCTACCAACTATAGGTAAGCACAGTCTTCATGAGGTATCCAATGACAATGGCGTCAGACTAATAAATCTATCAACTTTCCTTAACATAGCCGTGGAGATCTCTAGTTGAGTTTACAATAAACATGATCTTTTATGTTATTATTGACTCTGGACATCACTCAGACGTAATGCATGCAGACGATGCAGCAGATCACTACCTAGTGGAAAGTAGAATAAGAGCCAGAATCTCAAACATTAAAAAAGAAAAGGGATACAAAATTAAAAAACTTGCTAGAAAACAGACAAAAGCACGAGGATATAAACAGAGAATTGAAAGTGTGTAAAAATATCATACAAGACGCAGCCAAAGAGACCCTGGGTGTACAAAAAAAGCTTACATCAACTGAAGGACAGTGGTTCGATGAAGAGTGTCGTAACATAACAGAGATGAAAAATAATGCATATCAACGACTACAACAATGAAATAGAACACGAAAGGCAGAGGAGGAATATAGAATGCTAAGGAGGGAAGAGAAAAAAATACATCGCAAAAATAAAAGATAACACAGAAAAAGAACTCCAAGAAATGGAAGAACTAAATAAACCATCAGAAACCAGAAAATTCTACCAAAAACTTAACAAAAGTAGAAAAGAATTTAAACCAAGAACTATATCTAAACAAAGAAGAATATATAGTAACTCAATAGAGTGAAATACTTTTACTACTATACTATAGTATACTATATAACTAGTTAACTAAAACATAAAAATGCTTCAATATTATTTTTTATTCATAATTTCTTCCTTCTTTTACAGTCTTATATAATATTCTTACAAAATATTCAAACTACAAGAAAATTTCTTTATTTATTAAAATAGGGTTCCTCAAAAAAAAAATCGTGAATTGGAACCCTAATTGGTTCAACAAAAAAAAATATCGTCAATTGGGGTTCCGAGACCGAAAAAAAATTGGGAACCCCTTATCTATATTACCCTGCGGTCGATATTCTCCTACCTTCCCCTACTGCTCTTTATCTTCTGAAAACTTGTGAGGTATATTTAGTGCCTGCTTGTAAAATAAAAGTCGATAAGAAGAAAAATCTAGTGAGAAGTTTAGTAACTTTTTTGGTTTAAATCAAGCTTTTAAAATTTGCTTTGTTCTTTTTAAATAATGCGTTCAGTAAATATTTGGAGAGTTACGTATATTATTAAAATAAAAATAGCAACATGCTCTTCTTTATATCAATTTTAAAATATGTGCATTTTAATTAAGAAAGGCATAGTTTCACGCCACTATTTACATAAAATCTTATTGGCAAGTACGACTATATCTAACCCCAGTTTTGCCTATGAGGTTTGAGCATTTTATTCCTAAAAGGAAACCTGTGAACTGTTTTCAAAGCGTATTTCTCCTTTTGTCATTCATTTAAGTCAACTCGAGAATTCATTTACATTTAAATAAAAAAGATGCTATCGATAAGTTCGATCGCAACTGAAATGGCTAATACATTGGGACTTCTTAAAAGTACGCAATGGTAATCTGATAAAAAATTTATAGCTCTTTATCTTTTTTCTTATCAGTTTTCTGGTATTTTTTCTTCTGTTTTCTTGCAGTAGGGCTTTTTATTTTTCTGAAGACTACCTAATACAGATCATAAATTTTACAATCGATAATATACGGGATGATTTTATATTGGTAGACTTTCCATAAATATAAACTCTTTCAAGAGAATAGAGCAGTTTTTATAAAATTTATTCCATGTTAAACTATCAAAAAGTCCAGACATATAATATAACTGTGTTATGTAATGTTTTTTTTTATTTATGACAGACCGACAAATCCAGAAATTAAAAAAGTTTCTATTTAAAAATTCGACTAATTTACGAACAAATAGCCCGCTTTGTACAAGGTTTGTCAAAGGGACGAGAAGAATAAGAAAAGAAGTCAGTCATAGGATCCATTTTAGGCCCAGTACCGTAAAAATATTGGGTAGCGGGTAGACACTCTTATCCCGGTAAAGACAGGTCTGCTTCAGGGATGCGCCCCTGCCCACGCGAGCTCTGCTTTTTCTCCCAATCCTCTTCCAGGAGAGAAGCGGATCCTAATCCCTAAATCCTACCCACCAACCCAGACCTAGGCAAATCCTTTCCTTCCCTCCTCAACCCGCACTGGACCAGCGTGAGGAGATAACGGTCCAAACCTTCAAGTCAATGTACAGGACAAAAAAGAAAAGGCCTCCAGTGCCCAGCACTTCCCAGGGTCTTGATCACGGCAGCGATCAAACAACTAACGGAAGGGGGGGTGCTAAGAATCCCTGGGTAAGAGCCGGCTGCCACAAGATGACAATTTGGCTATGCTCCTACAATATTCGAACACTGACGGACGACAATAGATTCCCAGAAATAGAAAGTGAACTAAAGGATATAACATGGGATGTCCTTGGTATATAAGAGACCAGAAGAAAAAGTGATGAGTATATAATACTAAAAAATGGCACACAATTTATGCATAAAGGTGGCGAATACACTGTAGTGGGATTCTTGGTAAAACAAAGCCTCACACAGTGTATCGAAGAATTCAAGCCCATATCAGACAGAGTAGCATATCTCATCATCAGTATTAATAAAAGAACCACTCTGAAAGTGATCCAAGTGTACGCTCCGACCAAAAGCCATGACGATGAAGAAGTAGAAATATTTTATGATGAAATAAAAATAGCTATAGAAACAAATAAAGCAAATTACGAAATACTATTAGGAGATTTTAACGCTAAATTGGGCAAAAAAGAGGAAGGTTATGAACATTTAATTGGTAACTATGGCTACGGGAAAAGAAACGATAGAGGAGAAATGCTTCTCAATTTCATGAATGAACATAACATGTACTCAATGAACTCCTTTTTCAATAAAAAACCAAACAGAAAATAGACATGAATGAGCCCCGATAAAAAGACAAAGAATGAAATAGATTATATCTTAACGAAGAATAGAAATCTAGTAGAAGACGTATCAGTATTAAATCAGTTTGACCTAGGAAGCGATCATCGACTAATAAGAACAAAACTAATAATTAACAAAAAACTAGAAAGAAAAAGAATACATGAAAAAGATACAAATGGACATCTGAAGAAATCAAAAATAGTGAATTTAATAAAAAGATAGCGCATGCATTAAATCAAGTTAGCATGCAGCAGATAAACTCCAATGATATTGATGATTTGAATAACCTTATTACCGAAACAGTGAATAAAAGCCTTCTGCAACTGAAAAAACCAAAAACAACATACAATGAATTAGACAAAGAAATATTACAACAAATAAAAATAAAAAGAAGGAAGATCTTAAATAAATCTAACAAAAGGGGAACCGACGAATATAGAGAACTTAATAGGCAGATTAGAAAAGGAATCAGACAACAAAAAAGAAAAGAAAACGAAAAATTAATAACAACAACTATTGAAAAAAATAAGAGTATGAAATGTCTTAGACCGACACTAGGACGACGTCAGATGATATCATTAATGGGAAAAGACGAAAATGAAATCACAACTAGAGAAAACATACTGACACCAATAGAAGAATTTTACACAGAACTTTACAGAACACATCAACAAGATGATGAGATGAGACCAGCACGGAAATTAATAAAAAATGTTGGATCAGAAATAATGCCATAAGTGACAATTTCAGAGGTAACTACAGCATTGGAAAACATGAAGAAAAATAAAGCTGCAGGAGGAGACAGTATTACCACGGATATGATATTAGAAGGAGGTAAGGAACTAATTGCAATTGTAACTAAGCGTGTGGACAGTTGTTTACATCAGGGCAAAGTCCCTAAGAGCTGGAACAACTCTAAAGTAATCTTATTACACAAGAAAGGTGATAGTTGAAAATTGAAAAACTACAGACCCATCAGCCTACTGTCACATCTGTTTAAAATACTCACCAAAGTCGTAACTACTCGACTAACAAGGAAATTAGACGAATACTAACCATATGAACAGGCAGGTTTTAGAAAAGGCTATTCAACTTCCGATCACCTGTTAACCACAAAAATATTAATAGAAAAATGTAACGAATACAAGTTTCCAGTTTTCCTAGCTCATCCCTAGATCTCTGAGTCAGCTCAAAATCCTTGATTTTCGAGTTTCGTCACTATTGATCTCACTAGGTGATATATCGTCTGACAGATTGCGCTTGTCGAATAAGTTCGGTTTAGTTTCAGATTTATTTTTAATATTTGGTAAATACGTTTGTTTTAATGTTATTTGAGAGTATACTGACGGAAAACAAAAAATTTTATGAATTTCGGTACATATTACAGTTTTAAAAATAGCCGTAGTCTGGTAGACTACACGTCAGTACTTAAGGGTTAAAAGGAAA